CCCTGCTCAATACACTGTAGTTTCGGGGAATTCACCCCTCATCAGTTGAGCTTCAGTAGCTGAGGAAGATGGTGCCTGAACTGAAGAGTACCACTTCATTTAATATATTAAAAACAGTGCTCTCCAGGCACAAACACCTCGTGAACACCACATAGCAGCGTGAGTCAGTGTCGCTCCTGTGGAGTGGTGCTTTCGGCTTGCGGGTTTGCCGGTATGGAGAGACTGCACTTGTGCTTGTTGTAACAGACTTCCTTGGTATTCAAGCAAACTTTACAATGTCTATGGGGAAGATAGCCTACAGTAGATAAGGGATGGTGGTGCTAGATTATACTGTTGTGGAACTCACATAACAGGGTTGGTGCTAGGGGTGCAGGAGAGGTGGTGTGAGTATGGAGTTCGGAGTGCAAGGTGTAGAGTGTAGAGTGTAGAGAGGACATACTGAATTACTGATACATGTGCTGTATACCGGTATTTAAAGTACAAATTTTCGTTCACGAAATCTTTCGTTAGTCGGTTAGATCACTCCACCAGTAGGCTTGTTACGTGGACTACTAAATTTCGTTTTTGGTCGAGGTCTATAAATAAATATAGACGTCTGTCACCCCGAACGTTCAGAAAAAAACTTTAGTTTGGTACACACTTTAGTTATTTCGTGCGAAATTCCAAACGAAATTTTTAATCTAGTCTTTTACAGTATTATATGTGACAGCTAGCTACAGGATCTAGGAACAGGAAAGGTGATATGTGAAACTGTGACACTGTCTTGTCGTGTACTTGATGCATTTGATTGAACTTTGACCTTCCGTTTAGGCCTATCGAGGGGTCTCCATTTCTGTACAGTTATCGGGATGAGAATATGAGAATGCAAAGTGAGCAGAGAAGGAGAAATAACACGAAGAATAGGACAACTGGAAAGGAATTGGGCGGATGTGATCCTGTTGTGAGCGTCAGGCCTTCACTGCTTCAGCCTGGCTTCAGGGAGTAGATCTACACGTAGTCTATTATAATTATTCTAGATAAGTCTACTGTAGATGTACATGACTGTTCTACTGGTTTTTAGTAGTATAATAGTACAGTACTCTCTCAGAGTCTCTGGACCCTGGTCGACCATGGTCATGCATAGTGACCATACTAGTGAAGGCATTGGACTGATTTCGCGACTCTCTGGACCACCCCAAACCGGATCTACTTTCCTACTCTCCCCGCTTCAACTTACTTCGTGACAGTCCGGAGCTGAAAAACCTGGGACACTGAGAGCAATCATGTAACCATGGCATGGTAAAGACACAGAGAACCTGGGCCGGGGACAGTGCAGCTGGACCAAACTCCGAAGTCAAAGAGTTCATAATATTAATAATAATAATACACCTGTCACAACTAATGTTACTTACAAGCAGGATAACCAGTTAAAGTGATAACATGCAGAAAATCTCTCCTTGCACTATGTACTACTGCCCTGCACTGTCTGTAGTGTAGCCATGGTAGCTTTGTAATGGTACTTGTAGGCTCTTTCACACTACATACACCACGCAAATAATACGATTCTGTGCATGGATAATTTTTAAATAATTTAATTGTTGCATCTTTTTTCAGAGTGCAAACTGGAAGTAAAATTAATAAAAATACTACTTGACCAGATGACTGCCTTTGTAAATGCGCATACTACTGTAACAACACTGAAGAAGTTTGGCCATCCGTTGCTCTTTCAATCATTGTCTGGCCGGGTAGGGGAAGCATGATGCTGCAACGGCGCAAGATCCTCACCTAGCTAGCTGGCAGGCTAGGTCACGTGGATTTCGTGCAAGGGGATAATAATTATTATGATATAAATAGCGAACTGCCATTGTGGCGGTACGCGCGGTATGCGTCCATCGCAGGCCCATCTGCAGCCGACATCGCGCACCCTTTTCTTGTGGCAAGCTGCGCGATCAGTTGGTCGCTCGAGTTCTTTGCATTCCGGACCCACAGCGACTACTTGCCACGGCCGATCGCTCAGCTCATATGGACCTTCAACACCCCGCCGTTTGAAAGACCCCAACAGGGCCAGTGCCAGTGGCAGGGGTGGTAGTGCTAGTGGAGACCGTGCAGGTGGTCCAGGTGCGGGTACTAGTAATAGTGGCGTTGGCTGTGCCAGTGCTGGTTTATGCACTACCAGTGCTAGTGCCAGTGCTAGTGCCAGTGCTAGTGCCAGTGTAGTTACCAATGCCAGCCACAGTCACACTCACACTCACAGCGAATACTCAACACTGAGACAGAGCCTTGATAACAGCCTGGCTGCATCTCGCAGCAGCAGTGCCACTGGCTACAATGTCGGTAGGTTTAGCACGTCTGCCTGGCCATTGCAACCCGGCACCACGACCACCGCTAGCTCATCTGTTTCCCGCCAATTCTGGTTGGCGAGCCAGGACATAGCCACCAAGGCTCTCAACACACGCTATATTCAGGGAATAGCCCAGGGCAAGCTCGACCCCAACTATTACGGCCAGTATGTTGTGCAAGACTGTGTATACTGCTATCACGCAGCGGACTGCTATCGGACAGTCGTGCGACAAGCACTCGCACTCCGTTGCCAGGACATTGCCGACTTTGCGCGCGAGCGTCACAACTCCTTCCGGCAATACAATGAAAGCTTGCGTACGGCCTGGCACATTTCGCCGACACCCGGAGCCGTTGAGCTGACCGAGGCAGCTCGGGCGTACGTGGAGTTTGAAGAGTTTGTAACTAGCACCCTGCACCCAATCTACGGCATTGTGGCAATGACCCCCTGCAATCATCTTTGGCCTTGGCTGGCCGCGCAGATACTGCCCAGTGTCACAACAGACAACCTGTATCGGTTCTGGATCGAGGAGAATGATGACTGGCATGGTGCGCGTCGCCTGGACAACTTCATTGATGGCTGGTTTTCGTCGCCCGACCACTGGGCAAACTACAGCAGAGCGGTACAAGTAGCACAGGCTGTCTACAGCACCGCCATGCTGTGTGAGCTGAATCTGTTCAGATCTGCCTGTGGCGAAGAGCTCGAAATGACCAAGGAAATGGAGCAGGACAGCTGGGCATTTAGAATGATCTGCCGCGATCAAAATCACCATCCATGAATGAGGCCATGAGCAATCTGATGTCACGTCGGCCTCCTCCAAGTCGCCCCAGAAGGTTAACCTAACATTCCTACTGTTTGCTGAGGCCAATGCTGTGCTAGGCGAAAATGTCCGGTCAATGCAGAGATTGTAATGAGGTGCATCGAGAGCCTTTCTCTAAACTGTAAGAAGGGAATGGTTACAATCCGTAGCTGACCTGGTCTGCCAGCCAAATACATTGGTTGCCAACTAGGCAACACTGTGACCTTGGCTGCTACACACAGATCACCGGCGTACCAACAAAGCTATTGCCTCAATAATGGCTAGTGCACACAGGTCACGGCATACCGACAAGGCTATGGTCAAGGCAATGGCTGGTGCGAGCAGATCACCAATAGGACCATTCCCAAGGATTGAGATAGTGAGCATAGCTCACCGCCAAGGCAATGGTGGTGATAAAGTTAGCTGTCACAAGATACAGGCCCCGGTTTTTCGTGCAGCTCAATTCTCTCACTGGTGTGGTTAGGATGGCCATGCTCCAGCACTTGTGCACCGATACGACAGTTTGTACACTGCGGAGAAGTTTGCCTGTAGGATGTATTTGTACACAAACGCCTGCAAGCGTAGATGGGAGAGATGTCGAGCAGCAATACCATCTCACCATGTACTGCCAGCTCAGCACTTTGTGCAACAGTGGACAGGCGGACAGGGGATAGGCAATCCACACAACAGGAGCAAGATTAGACTGATTGATACTAATATACAAGTATTAACGTTTCGACGCTAGTCTTCTTCAGTGTGATAAGAAGTTCAGCACTTTTGTTACCCCAACATGACAGTTAATAGCACTACAAATGTAGTTGGTGAGTGAGAGAGACATGGAGAGAGACACGGAGAGACAGAGACAGAGAGACAGAGACTCAAGACCTGAGATGTTGATATGGACGTTACTGGCTTCCCAAAGCCAATCATGCACTGTTCTCCATGCATTATATTGCTGTTTATTCTGCAAACATATCTACATTGCATATACAGAACCTTGCTTGATAGGTTTAACATGTTTTCGACTTCGACAGCATGCTACGAGGCAAGGTTATGGTTGTAGTCAGGAGCACTGTAAGTCCTCGCTTTGTAACATGCTGTCGAAGTCGAAAACATGTTATATCTACATGTACTCGATATGACTACATGTACTACTCCACAGTCTCTCCGACTAATAAGTTAGTCCAGTACAGACATGTGTCTACTTGCATGAGTGCACAGCTGATGCACGCTCCGGACGAAATGGAGCAAGCTACATGTACATGATTTTTGTTGTTGTAACATGACAAACATTTCACATCAAAAAGCGACCATGAGATAACTTTTTAACGTAGTGTTATCACTGGACTGACCATCATGACAACATTTTTGACAGTGCACATCTCATGCTGCCTGCCTTGCATGTACGAGTGTCGGTGTACTAAGATAAGAGAAAATTGGTGCATAGTAATGCGTTCACATCAATTACTGTCGTGCCGTTTACTCGTATATTATAAATCAAGAGAGAGAGTGGGGGTTATGAACTCTTGGTATGAGGTATGCTCACCAGTAGCCGGCTTCTCATCCGCTCCCTTTTGAAGCCCTCAACGCGTTAACGGTGAATAGTTTGAGGTCCGGAATCTGACTCAGTATGCTCCTATCGAAGAGTTTAAGGTGGAGTCTTCGCTTGCATGATGCTTTATGGTGTTCTTTGGGAACGGAGCCATGGATAACTTGGCACCAAACGAAGCCTCACTGTTTAGCGGCCTCAGAGTTATGGATTCTTGGACGGTGATACACTGATAATGCAATAAGCCATAGGGACGACATGCGGTTGAAATGTCAGCCCCCGCCTAAACACATTACCAAGTACTCCTGCCGGACAAGCACAACACGTACTTGGTGTGATGGGACATGTACTGTACTCAGTCTGCAGGTTTGACATCAGTCAGAAGGTGAGCAAAATTGGGTAAAAACTAAAAAGGCAATGGTGCATGACAAACAATAGTGCATAAAAATATGGTCATGCACAGCCCTAAAAAAACTTTGAAAAGATGAAGGAGATAATGTGCTTTTTTGGAAGTACTTCAAGTACATTTAGTTATGCCACGGTAATAAATTCCATTTGCCTGGACCTGCCAAGAAGTTGTTATTAAAGTTTCAAGAAAGGACGAAAAAGACCTGTGCATCTTGTTTAATAAAAAAAAGAAAGGACAGAAACAATTAGAAAATACTTTCAAGAAAAAAATAAAAACACGATCATCCGTTGAAAAGATCCTCAAGAACTTTACAATATAAAAAGACATTTAAAAAACGCAGACAAAATGCTCGGGAAAATCACAAGATGTACTGAACAAGACTAAAAACTATACAATATTGTTCTGGGAGTTTCCTGAACTCACGATTGTTCACATCACACATTGCAGTGGGTGCTAGGCTGATTGTACAGCGTCAACAAAGCGTAATGCATGAGCCTTATTTACAACAGAGACACACGAACAATCCGCGGAAGCAAGGATTATTAAAAAAACCCAGGGTAATACCACATCAACTGTGAGACAATCAAAGACACCACGGGCATGCATGGCATACACACCGCCGCTCTATTGTACCTCCCACTGCAAGAGAGTGGGCTTAGCGCCATCCATGGGCTGGGGATGGTCGTCGGAATCCTGTAGGATGCGGGGCAGCCAGGATGAGGACAGGGGCGGCAGACCGATGGAGCACACAGAGCGCCCGTCCAGAGTTTGCAGGCACCCAGGGCCGTGATGCGCTTGTCGCATGGTGACAAGCGAGTCCGTACATGGCACATTGCTTGCCGTCTCTCGGCTGATGTCGAAGACAAGGAGGACGCCGGAAGACATCAGCGCCCACAGATGCGAGTCGGTGACTGCAATGGACACTACACGGAAGTAGTGATTGGTGTAGAGCTTCGATGATGGCTTGCTATTGGGCACGGTCATCGGCAGATCAACGGACTGCAGTAGTCGACAACTGCCAAGCAATAAAGCAACAGGGAAGACATTCGTTACATTGGGTTTTTGTTTCATGTTTGCATTTGCGTTGGAGCGAACCAGCGGAACGGCGAGTACACAGCTTCGTTTACGCCGAATCATAGCTCAAGTGAGAGAAGAGAGAAGGGACAGCAGGCAGGCAACTGTGTTTGGCTTGCAAGTTCCAGTAAAAACGAGGTCTGGGGGTATGTATCAGTCTCCATCACTGAAACGCGATACTACACAGTTCCTAAAAGCATACATATTCCAGCTTGGGCTATCCAATATAATGCTGTTGTCTGGTGATTGCCTACTTGTTTGTGCGTGAAACTCAGAGTCACAACATTATCTTCCTTCTCTTCTTCTTGTCTTGCTATACAGTTTCTAGCAAGAACAATGCAGGTACAAGTGCCCTATATCATGCATTGCACGCAGTACCGTATTTTACCGGTTGTAAGTCGACCCCGGTTATAAGTCGACCCCCCTATCTGGAGGTCTCAATTCTGCGTTTTAAAGTTTTCACCCAAAGAAGCACTACTAACCACCTCCTGCTACTAACACATCAACAAATCATGTAAATATTCCTTATTGGAGGATATAACGTCCCAATCCTTGAAAAAGGCCAATGAACTGGCAAAAATGTATAAACATGGTGCACTCGTGCATGCAGTGCAGGTCATTTTTTGTAAGATACTGATAGTTCCCGGTTATAAGTCGAATTCCGGTTGTAAGTCGACCCCCACCTTTTCTCCTTCTATTTTAAGTCGTAAAAGGTCGACTTACAACCGGAAAAAGACGGTACATGTATTACAATTGCCAACCCCAGCTCACCGCGTGCAGATGTGCTTGAGAGCGGAGCCGTCGGAGAGGTCCACCAGCACCAGGTCCGGAGATTGCTCGGCGAAGAGCCACAGGCCACGCTCACTCATCACGATCTGCTGGATTCTCTTGTCGCTGTCGATGAGCAAGGAGGAGGCATGCACAGTCATGGATAGGAAAGAAAAGAGGGACATCAGCATGCAACTGACCTCAGTTATTCCACGCTTGCTCGTATGTATAATGGACCGAGTGTATATCGAGAAATATAGACCAGTATAAAAACCGAGGCGAAGCCGAGGTTTTTATAACTGGTTGATATTTCTCGATATACACGAGGTCCCTTGTTATAATAATACCTCTCCATGCGCAAGCTCAAGAGCAAAAAGGAGTGAATATAGCTTTCTTTCCCTAAAAAGGAGTGAATATAGCTTTAGAGAAAGAAAGCTATAATTATACACTCCTTTTTAGAGAAAGAAAGCTCCTCAGTGGGTTTTTTTAATGGTTTTTCTCAGTGGTGTATACACCTCCTTTTAGTGGTGTATATTGAACAGTGTATATGGAAATTTATAAACTTCATGGGAGATCTGGTATATGAGTGTGGGTGTATATGGAGTGAGGTATAAAATAGCATACTGACCTCAGTTATTCCACGCTTGCTCGTATAATAGCATACTGACCTCAGTTATTCCACGCTTTGCTCGTATAATAGCATTTCTCCCATCTATAGCGGCAGCTGTTCCTCACACACAGTGCAAGCTCTTGATGACAGACATCACAACAACAAATAACACTTAGTTGCCTTACGAAGAAGAAACTTACCAGAAGTATAACATGGCCCTCATCTTTTCCTCCCATTGCACACAATCAAATACGAGCAGGAGATTATCGCCGACAACAACGCAGAATTCATTGTGGGAGTTTGCATGGCTGATGCATCTGATGGCGCCATCATCATCGCGAGATGCACGGATGACGAACTTCGGCGGTCCGCTGATGGCGTGGCCGTACGCTGGGGTGGAGAAGAAGCGTGCGAGGTTTCCATCTTGTGAGCCCACCAGCACCTCGCTCATTGGCAGCATACTAACGCCGCTGTTAGGACGTAGCGGCAGCATGCACGTCACTGCTGCTGGCACAGCGTTGCGACCGATCATCTTCAGACTTGGCAGAGAATGCACCTGCGCATAGCATCACCAAACCAACGCCACGCCCAACACATCAATACCAAATCCACTACTGCAAGTCAACAAACTTTCGGCGCGTATTTATTTTCGGCTATTTTCGGCCTGATCATAATTTGGCCGAAAATTTGTTGCAGCCGAAATTTGTTTTGCAAGGTTCAGTGTGACAGTGTATACAGGCAGCATAAGTACAGGCCGAAAATTTGTTGCAGCCGAAATGTGTTTTAGCCGTGGGAGGCCGAAATTTGAATGGGCCGAATATTTGTCGACTTTAAACATGCTTACACTTGTCTCAACACTCCGTGTTTGGAATTTTTCATTTCTCCATGCATTGCAGCAATAGGAAGCATAGAGGCATAGTTGCAACGTACAAGTAAAAGTGCGTGTGTGTGTGTGCGTGTGCATGTGTGTGCATGTACATACGTGCGTGCATGCATGTGTGTGCGCGCGCGTGCGTGTGTGTGTGTGTGTGCGCAAACAGCTGACCTGTACAATACCACCAGCTGTTCCGACCCAAATCTCCTCACAGGCCGTACAGCACCCAGCCGTTATCTCATCACCGTCAAATGCACAAATGCATGCCTGTGAATAGGAGACGAAAAACAGAGTACACGAGAGAGGGTCAACATTGCAAAGAAGAGAGGAGAGAGGGTAACTTGTGTGGTAGATATTCGTGACTGAAAACTAGTGCCATCACGCCATGTGCGCAGTACAGGAAACAAAATGATGAGGTTGTAAAGGCCCGTGCTTCTCTCCTGAAAGAGAAGGCAAGACAGCAAGCCAGAAAAGAGCAAACTAAGCTAAGCAGGAAAATAGGACCTTGCCATCGGCACTGGCCAACATAGGTATGGACAGAATCAGGTAGAAGCTGAGACAACGCTTTCTACGAAGCCATGATGCCACCATCACCCCCCCCCCCCTCCTTCTTTGAGGGACCAGGCAGACCACCATCACCCCCCCCCCCCCTCCTTCTTTGAGGGACCAGGCAGACCACCATCACCCCCCCCCCCCTCCTTCTTTGAGGGACCAGGCAGACCACCATCACCCCCCCCCCTTCCTAGAGGGTAGTTTAACCCGGCAGCTGTATGTCATGGGCATGTGTGAAGCAGCCTATCATGACCTAACGTACCTGAGTTTCACCATTGGAGCAGTCAATGGACTTGACTTCGTCGTCGCAGCACACGCATGCATACTGGGAGAACGTGGATGGCAGTGTCGGTGATTTTACGGCGTCGGACTGGTTCAGGGAGCCATGGCGCGACAGGCTACCAGTGTTGGGTAAGATAATGGACTCGTTGAACGTGTCCTGTCGTCGAAGCAGTGCCTGTCGCCTTACGGATCCCATCGACGTTACACTGGCATTGGATGGGTGCTTCACACGATGGACTGCGGCCGGCGTCAATCGCCGGTCGTGGCGGAGCATGCTGGGAGAAGCTTTGGGACGACGACGGTGCGAGGGTATCCTCCCATCTACCATGTCACCACCGCTTTCTTCCAAGCTAGCTTGGGAGAGGTCATCACTGGGAGAGTAAATTGGATAGCCTTGACCATCACTGTCACTCTGCTCCTTCTCGTCTTCTTCACCGAAGGGTGCCAGATCCGTATCCCGGTGATCCGCACTGATGGGAGACAGTGTGATGTCGGGCAGGCCTGTATGGTAGCCCGATGGCGAGTGTTGCGGAGAGCTGGGCTGCACTAGCGGTACGTGGATGGCGGTGGCGCAGAGGATGATCTTGTGCTCCGGGCCGGGCGAGATGCGGATCTGTGTGTGTCGTGGGTAGCAGCAGCAGACGGACATGTGAGACGCAACGGTCTGAGCGCTGGGCCTCTTGTCGGGCGTCGGGTACAGGCTGGAGTCCACTAGAGTTTGAAAGCAATGCAAGAGGCAATCCGTCACTGGGTTCTTTCTCTTCTGTTTCTTTTCAACGCCCTCGGAGGACACGGCTGTACTGGCAACACTGCCGCTCTCGTCAAGTGATTTCGCTCTGCCATGAACATTGAACCAGTGAGTCCGACGAAAAGACGAGGGCGGTGGTATATTGCGTTGACCTTGCGTGGATAGTGTCAGTGCTGAAGTTCTACGGTGAAAAGGTGTGGACATGGGTCGTTTCATGGTAGAATCAAGAGACGGACATCGCATCATTTTCACCGCCTGTTCCTGTGGCTGTGGGGAGAAGCTGCTGTTTGTCATATCCGCCGACTCTGAGAACTCAAATATGGAGGATCTCTTCTCCGTGACGCTATCATCGGTGATGGAACTATCCACTTCATCAAACGCTGGCATCACCATGGGAACAAGCATGTCCGCCATCGGTGGCCTGTCGTAGTAGCCTTCCACCAGCTGGGACTCCGGTGAGGCAGCAAGTAGTGATGACATAGTCGCCTTCTGCTCATCCAGCATGTTGGCCTTGATGGCGTCGGCCAGACTCGGTGTGTAGCCGGCCAGCTGGGCGGCCTGCATGTTGAAGTTTGCTGCCTTCTCCCAGTACGGCTTTCGGCCGGTGACCACCTCGAATATCACCAGGCCCAACGAGAAGATGTCGGCCTACAGAAGACGGGACACGGCGTTGAACAGAACATACATGCAGTAAGAACTCTTGTCGTATTCTTGCTCAAAGCTCACACACAACAGTTGTCACAAGTCCAACTAGCACAATCGCAGCCAAAGAAATCCAACCCCGAGCGCAGGGAATACCGGTAGTACAAGTGCAAGACCAAATCATGCTTGTTCTCGGACTGTTTTATGTTGTCTTTTCGACTTTTTGCCGGGGGGGGGGGGCTTTTAATAATAGCTTGCATGCCGTCCTACCGGTAGGACCCAAGAAATCGTGCTGCAAAAGTGCTTTTGGTTGAGAAATTTCTTGAAACAATTGTTGAGACGAGGTCTTCGTCAGGCAAAGTAATGGCACAAAATGCAAGGCTATGTCCAGTGCATTGCATATGCGCAATTTTATCAATTGTCAAAATGGCCGCACATACCCCTGTCGGAGCGCTAGCAACTCTGTGCAAGGTGAATTTTGACCATGGCACATCAATCGTGATGAGGTCCTAATGTTTCTATTAGCCTGCCAAGGCAGTGGAATGCATAATTCCATACACTGTTTCCATGGTTACCATAGACTGTTACCATGGAATTTTGTAGTATGCTTTGTCCGATCACGTCTAAAATTTGTGGACTCCTTCATTAGCCCCTGAGCAACAGTTTAGGGTCAAGTTTTAGGTCAATGTTAGAACAGAGGCCGTGCAGCATGTCTGTGTATGATGGTCCTACCGGTAGGACCGAGGTCTATGCAAGCTATCATTAACCGAGCTGTACCATGTTCTCCAACAGCACGGACACGATAACAATTAATAGTACCCTGGTCCAAACATGCAGAATATGCGCACACGGGTACTCACTTTCTCCGTGTATGGCACACGTGACTTGGCCGACACTTCCGGTGCCATGTAACCTTTCGTGCCCTGTGGATCCTTGATGCCGGCTGGCAGGGCGAAGGTGGCGATGCCATAATCCGCCAGCTTCACCAGAACGCGGCCGGGCGTCAGGGACCAGACGAGTATGTTCTGCGGCTTCAGGTCCCGGTAGATTATGCGTAGATTGTGCAAGTAGTCCAGAGCATTGGCTACCTGCGACCAGATGCAATGCAGACCACATACACACACATGCACACACATGCACACACACACACACACACACCTTGACCTTTGACCTTTGACGCCCATCGCCGGAGGCGATGATAGCAATGCTACGGCAGAAGCCATAGCAACTTGTGCTGGGATTGCACCATTCAACAGCTTGCAAGGCTGAAGAATTGACCGTCACTGTTCAGCCTGGTCTACACCATGCAGCTATTTGAAGTGACTTTTTCTGGCCAGTGAATCCCTATTTTTGGTCTTTTCATTTTTTTCCCGCACACACATCACACCACATACTCCGGCATGCACTGGCTGTTGGTAACCACCCAGGAGAATGAAAGAAAAGTCCGGAAGAGTCTGAGAAAGAGAAGAAAGACGTGTGTGACCATAATCGTCGGGAATCGAACCCGCAACCTACCGATTGGAAATCGCTGCACATACCACTGCACCATATGGGACACCCACCCACACACACACACACACACACACACGCACACACACACACACACACGCACACACATACACACATACCATGGTCAAACTGGCCATCATCCGAATGGAACATTTACTACCATGAATTCCTAGTGCGGACTACATGTGTTTGAAACTAAAGACGAACACGTATGTCAATTATGCAACGATGGATAGGCGGACCACACAACTTATGGCCATTGACAGTTTGATCAAAACAGAAAGATATATTCGGAGGTGCTAAGATATGTCCGTCACGACCAGCAAGGGAGTCAAGCCAACGTAAGGTGCTCGTTTGCTCTGGCCATGCAGCGGGAAACTCATTTCACGGGCCCAGCCCGGAGAATGTTTGTGCATGGTGAATGTATGTACTGGTGCATGTATAGCGTGTGGTTACGGGCCAGCCGGGCCAGTATGAGTGCCGGTGCAGGACACGCAAAAGCAATCACGCAAAGCGCAGGGTCACAAAGGGCACTACTAGAATTGTGGATTTTCTCTCTGTCTCTACCATGGCTACTTTGTAGTTACTTTTCGCCATTTGTACGCAAAATTCCCGGCCAGTGAAATCCGATCCCTCACTTGAGCATGCCACAAATCGTTCTTGGTTAACACCATACGCACACACGCACACTGACCCGAGCTCCGCAGCATACACACACACACACACACACACACTGACCTGAGCTCCGCAGCATACACACACTGACCCGAGCTCCGCAGCATACACACACTGACCCGAGCTCCGCAGCATACACACACTGACCCGAGCTCCGCAGCTCAGGGCATTGATAGCTGCTCTGCTCGGCGCAGGTGATGTGCCAGGGATAGGATTCACCGGCCTTCATTCGTACATGTCCAACAAACACACTACGCAGCAGCAGCAGCAGCAGCAGCAGCAGCAGCAGCAGCAGCAGCAGCAGCAGCAGCAACAGCAACAGCTTACCTGGAATAGAGCTTTGTGTGCAATGTTGAGTGGCACACCGTAATTGTGAGTGGTACGCAGCACAGAGCTCATGCTACCCATTGGGGCAAGTTCCAGTACCAGACATAGTGGAGATATGCATACGCCGATCAGCTTCACAACATGCTCCTGCTTGAGCTGATCCAATGCGGACACCTGCATTACAGTGAATCAAGTGAGAGAGAGAGAGAGAGAGAGAGAGAGAGAGAGAGAGAGAGAGAGAGAGAGAGAGAGAGAGAGAGAGAGACAGAGAGAAAGAGAGAGAGAGAGAGAGAAAGAGAGAGAGAGAGAAAATCTGTGAGCACATATTGGAACATGACTGGTAACCCAATGTGTATCAGCCTGTGGTAAAATGTCTGCAAAGGTTGTGATGGTGGAATTAAGAATGAGGTATTGGTATTGTTCCAAAAGCGGCAGATACCAGCTCCTGAAAGACATCCATACAATCATAGCGAGACAGTGCGCATGACACAAGTCAGTGTTGTGATATCCTGGAAAGTGAAATGTATGGAATACATCCTCTAGTACAAGGGCATTATTCAGCCCAGGGCCTGTCACCCTCATCTAACACGGTAATCTTGCAAGCTAATCACATCCTGTCCCATACAAGCAGGTTTGCAAACCCTGCCTCCAAATGCACATGCTTGAAGTGCAGTCTCCTGGCCTCACTCTCACACTAACTATACCATCAGCATGCAGAGTGAGCGCTGGTGCACACACACAGTACCTCGGTTCTCAGCTCTTGGTACGGTAGAGTGCGGCTGTCCTGTTTGGGAGTGAAGACCTTCACTGCTACCTGGCGACCTTGGTATGTGGAGCGGTAGACCTAGTAATTTGCATCAAGCAAGACACAAACACGAGTATCCATTGTAGCCGCTGAGCGAAGTAACACGTGTAACATTGCACAGTTAGGCAACATGCATGCATATGCAATACAATCATACTCTCATACATGAAAATAACTTTTCACCAGGAAGTAAACCCACGCGTTCTAACATTCTGACTAATGGAATTCCTTCTTTTACACAGACACCTATGGTGTCCCCAATGCCCCTTGTGTATCATGTACTGAAAAAACGACAAGATCACTACAGTATCTTTTCAGCAACGTAAGAACTTCAGGAACGCGTCTCAGAGTAGGCCAGCCCATTACACCCCTTTGGAAACCAGTCCATACCAACCACCACTGTCACCTTGCCAACCACCATTGTTACCTTGACGACTCACCTGGGCAAAGCCTCCATCGCCGAGCTTGTCTTCATCGGACAGTCGCAGGTTGTCATCAAAGTCGTCTGCATCCAGCAGCAGGTCGCAGGGCAGGTCGCACAGTAGCACGTCCGGCGCCAGTGCTTTCATCTCAATGGCGCCGTGCAACGGGCAGTGCGGCGACTTGCTCGCCGAGAATGCAGCGCTCATCAGCCGATCAAGATCAAACATGTGGGTCTAGAAGATTGCAGCATCAGCATCAGCATCAGCATCAGCAGCATCAGCACCAGCATCAGCATCAGCAGCAGCAGCAGCAGCAGCAGCAGGAGGATAAGAACACATGGATGACACACACCACCGCAGCACTCAGAGGAGCACAGTGAACGGAATACGCTTTTTAATTTTTTTTAAAGTCCACATGTTAAGTGACTAGGCTTAAAAACAAGCTTCAAGTGTGCTAAGCAGGATTGCAAGTCTAAAGGAAGGTGGACTCTCATAAATTAGCAGAGGTCTAGCTGTAGAGGTCTAGCTGTAGAGGTCTAGCTGTAGTCTTGTAGAGGTCTAGTTGTAGAGGCTTTGGCCGTAAAGTACATAGCCACACAGGTGCAAGAATAACATCTTTTTCAAGCTCTGCTAACTCCAAACTGACAGGTAGCTTGTTTCACAAGGATAACAGGCGCGCGCTCACCTGGCTCGGTAGGAATCTGTAAGACTCTGTCAAGTCTACGCGTTCGGCCACGCATCTCGGACACGGCACACACCGATAGACATTGCGAAACAGGCCAGGGAACCAGTCTTCTAAGATGCTGTCAGTCAGGTAGGTTGCCTGCAGTCAACGACACATCATAAATAGAGACAAAGATATTTTCCTCCATGCCTGCAAAACTCATGCTGAAGCAAAACAAAACAAATCACCCTTTCAACAACACACTGCCAGTGTTTATCAAAGGTGAGGTAATGCCAACAACAACATCAGCAGCAGCAGCAGCAGCAGCAGCAAAACATGACACACAGTACACGAGTGCTGCACCTGAAATGTAAACAAATCTCCTACCTGAGCCAACATACAGCACTGTAGCTTCTGATGTCCCCACACTGCCATCTGCAAGCCACTGTTCTCGTGGCCCGGGAGCTGCTCCAGGCGAACCTCCACAAACGTCTTGCCACGAGAAGACCTTCTTGCCGCTGCCGCCGCCACCACTGATGGATTTCGCGAGGAGAAATCTGGCAGGCTGATGTGGACAGCAATGCCCGTTTGCCATGCGCGGATCACCAAGTGTACCTGACTAGCGGAGATATACTCATCGTAGCGAGATTCGTCCTTGATGCACTTCAGCAGGGTCAGCAGGTACGGACTGGCAAACATGTCATTGCCTGTTGACAAATCACACATAATATTACGTCATGCCTGTGAATTAAAGAAAGGTGAAGGTACTGTACAAATACAGACTGTATGGAAGTAGAGCACGCACAACAACCCTTCAGTAACATTATTTGTGACGGGTACGCATGGTATCTGAAGCACAATCACCACCAGCAGCACCAGCAGCACCAGCAGGATCACCATTCACATACTGTGTTTTACCGGTTGTAAGTCGACCCCCTTATCCGGAGGTCTCAATTCTGCGTTTTAAAGTTATCACCCAACGAAGCACTACTAACGACTCCCTGCTACTAACACATCAACAAATCATGTAAACATTCCTTATTGGAGGGTATAACGTCTCACTCCTTTTAAAAAAGGCCAATAAACTGGCTAACATGTGTACACATGGTACACTCGTGCATGCAGTGCAGGTCATTTTTTTAAGATACTGATAGTTTCCGGTTATAAGTCGAATCCCGGTTGTAAGTCGACCCCCACCCTTTCTCCTTCTATGTGTAATCTGTACAACTTTAAGTACTACATAGACTGTAGTGTATACACTATACAGGCATGTGATGGCCCACACAACAGTTTCCAGCCAATGCTATAGTAAGCTATGTGCAGATGTGATCGCCTTGGGTGTAGTGGTGACAATTGTTTCCACTGCACTGTGCACGTCGTGGTGACAGTCATGCCCATTGCACTGCGCATGCAATGGTAACAGTCCTATCCACTGCACCGTGCGTGCCCAGAGTTATCGTGTTCAAGTTTTGACTTACGCCGTTGCCCAGGAGCAGCTGGTGCCATGCTGTGACTGACAATGCTGCCCAGCATGCTGCCCAGCATGGACATGGTGTCACTGGTGGCGTCGTTGCCCTCATCGTTACAGCATCCACACTGGCCAACGCCACTGTTGTCAGACGGAGGCAGGTCCAGCAGCATGAAGTCCTAAATGTTCATTGGGAGACATTGCACACATGCGCCATAATCAATCGTCAAACTGTACGTGCATACACGTGGCTGTTCAAGTTGGATGAAGGAGAAGGGAGCAAATCCGACCACAGGAGGTGAAAGTCAGGGACAAAGGAGGTTCTGCCGAGGGGAAGGGTTCAGGGAGGGGGGGGGGGGGGTGAGAGAGACCAGGTGCAGAACACCTTGTGCCTACCGTATTTCCCCGAATATAGGTCGCACCTTTTTACACAAAAAATCAAGGGTGAGAAAGGGGGTGTGGCTTACAATCGAGCATGACTTACTACTGAAGTGATCATGTCGAAAATAATATTGCTGAAACCTGAAAATGGGGTGCGACGTATAATCAAGTGCGACTTATAATCGGGGAAATACGGTAACGCTGCAGCAGCAAAGATGAATAAATCCCGTATTTCAAAGCACTTGTACTGACTGGTTTAGAGCAAGTCGTGAAACGAGTACAAATAACGGGTCACTGACTGTTCTCACATCCCGAAACAGGCACAATGGGGATTCTGATGAGCTGGACGAATTCATTCCCAGTCACGGACTTACTCAAGATATACTTGTTTAGGACTTGGCAATTGCCAAACGTCTCGAACATCTTCGCGATCAGTCTATATTATACTCGGTATAAATCCCAACTTTTTCCTCCAAGAGGATGACCAAGAGCTCAATGCAGGTTATGAACAGGCACATATAAACAGAAGGATGAGCAAAAGACAATCTGAAGACAATATGAAGACAATCTGCTTACATCATCCACATCCAGGAGTGTTCCCAAGATGTCAGAGCTGGACCTGCGCTTGGGAGCGACTGGCGTGAACATTGACTTCAGCTTAAACTTGAGCAGGGAGCCATCGGGTTCGTCACTGGCTTCCAAGTCGGCAGTGTCATCAATGCTCATGAAAACGCTGGAGTCTTGGCAGTCGACCAGCTTGCGACGAGGTTGGTTACCGGAGGAATCACCGCCCCCCGTTGCACTGGGTTCGATATGAATCTCAACTCCACTGCTCGCCGTGTCTGGCACAGCATCTTCAGTGGCTATATGACATTCAGCACTGCTATTGCTATCATCACCATCCTCATCCTCATCACCGTCTTCCTTCGCCTCGGAAACCCGAGTCAACAAGCGTGACCTCAGGGCAAGAGCCTCCACTTCTGCTCCTTTCCTGCCTAAACTGCCACGACCAGCAGTAGCAGAAGCAGCAGAAGCAGCCGAGGCAGGATTGGCAGACCCATCAACAAAGTCACCAGGCAAGGGTGTCGGTGCTGAGTTACGCAGAACCTCAGGCTCCAGGTCAACAGCAGCTGACGGCATCATCGTTCCCTTCCTCTCCGTGAAGAGCACGATCAAAGAGGAGATGAGCTTGCTCCAGAAGCTGCTAGGCACATAGGGTAGCTGATACTGTCGAACCAATGCCTCAGAAAGAGGATACCTCATGGGTATTTGCTCAGCCGCTGAACTGCTGAACGACTCCGAGGAGGACGCTGCAGTGAATCCCATCGTGCCAACACTCGGCGCACTTTCCGGCAACAGTGCAGGAACCAGGAATGTGCTGTGCTCGCTGTTCAGAGCAACGATGATGTGAAAGTTCTCCAGCACGTTGAGCAGTAGTGTGTGGCACTCGGCCGGCGCTCGCCAGCGAAGGATGCGCGGCATCCAGCGTGAGCGAAGCACACCTTTCCGCCGCTTTTTCAGCAGCGACTCGTCATCCGCCGACGAGTCCAGATCGATGATACAGGCAATCGTGTCGTACAGCCACTGCGGGTCGATGAAGATGTAGTCAGGCAGCTGTCCCTGGGCATCAGCAAAGTGCAAGAGCAGTCCCGCCTCGTGCAGGAACCTGGTGGCCTAGCAACAACACAACAACCAGGAGCAGAACAGAAGCAGGAGAAGACACAACACCATAATTATTAGAAAGCCAGTGTGGATAGACTCAGAATATAGAATAGCGGTGCTGGTTGCCAGCACCTCGAACCCGGCACGGAAACATTACTACTCTGTGATGACAGCAGCTACAGCTATGACTAGTACATCTAGAGTTTCGGAATACACTGGAGTCTCAACCGCACTCTAGTGATTGCATCTCACTACAAGTACTGTTCTTGGAAGTACAGCCAAACATGCCCTAGATCAGGAACTGAAAATCTGTCCAAGCTATTGCCAGATACGTTTGATGCTACTGCAGCTGCTACTGCTACTGTAAAAAAACTTACCTCTAGGAGGCCACTGATGTCATCAATCTGACAGTTTGCTTTCTTGGCCATGTCCCAAAATGCATTGATCTCCATGACGGCTGGCAACTGCTTATGGCGCTTCTCCTTTAACTTTTCAGCAACCGCGTCTTGCAGAATGATATAGCTTCTCGGCACCTGATTCGTCAAAGGCACCGTGAAATGGACAGTGGCAAACGTCACCATGTGTCCAGGATAAATAGGCACACCATCAAGCACAGAATGGGTGTGTGGGTGGCAAGATGGTTAGAGCATTGGCTTTCCAAACATGAGGTCGCTGGTTTGATTGCCAGTTGATGTGATGACACTAACCACCCCCCAGGTGACCCATCTGAGATTGGGTGCCTACCCGACTTCGGTTGGGTGGGGGGGGGGGGGGGGGGGCACAGGCGACGAGGGAGAGGAGATGAGTACCGCCTTTGCCCGGTTGAGATCATTGAAAAAAGAGGTCACTAACACACCTCCTCCCACCAGTATGGTCAAAATTGACAATGGGCTACCTATACCCTTTTTTATATTTTTTTACCAAAGGCAGGAACAGAGCAAGCATGCTGCGTTGTTTTCAGTAGGGTATGCACTAAGGAAGCTGATATCCATACACGTTGAGCGAATTGTGACTGGTGCGTGCATGTATACGCAGAAGCGGAATACGCTACAGCCCAAATTCAGAGTGTTCACTTTCCAGTACCCCTCTGCATTCTCCTACCTCTGCCCGACTTTTTAAATTTAAATCTACACTGCATGCAAGGTGAATGTATGCAGTGTGTGACAAAGGACTTTATGCGATTCGAAACACTACCTGATGTTTTAGATAAGTGTCGTCCCTGCTGGTGGCTTGTGGGCTCCGTACTGTCAGAGCCGTGTTGAAAATCCGCTTGCGCAGTTCGCTAAGACCAGTGTTACTTGGTGATGATGAATGAAGGCTCATGTAGACACTGTCGACGATTGCTGGTAGGCCTTTAGCATTCAACTGTGCAATGTCAAGATCACACAACACACACACACACACACACACACACACACACACACACACACACACACACACACACATACACACCCATGTGCAAACAAAAACACACATACACACCCATGTGCAAACAAAAACACACATACACACACACACACACACGCAGAGTCGAAGTGATGGTGATTATATTATTTACTAATATTTGGTACTCGAACTTCCACTAAGAAAACCTGCTCTGGGCCGAATGCTTCGCTATTTGCTAGATGGGAGCAAGCGAATGAATGCAGGCACTTGATTTTAAGGAAAATCGCTAAAAAGAAATTGACGGGAATGTTCTTGTCAAGAAATGGCCCACGAACGTTTTCTTACCAATGCCTGTCCATCGTGATACGGGTAGACACTCTGCACAACGTCTTCCAGCGCGGTGATGTTCTCCGTGCTATGATCATCGCAGTGGGTTGCCACTAGAATGACGGGCGCTTTGGGAGCCCTGGCCTGGATGCTCAACAGCCATGGCTTCAGCGCCAGCAGACCAGTCTTGCCCTGGTGGATATTCACACAGAAAGGGAACAAAAGACTACTATTATACTGGCCATTCACAGTGGCTCTCGTATCCCAATACCTTACTCAACCGGGCACCTTGCAGCCAGGTACTCACAGTCAAAAGTTGAAGTGTACGCTTCTCGTTGGCTGAAACATTGAAATAAACAAGAAGCATTGTCCTCTCGAAGAACAAACATCTGTGATGCATGTTTTTTTGTGGCTGTCCGCAGCCAACCCTGCACTAGTTATGGCTGATGTGAGGTGTGAGAAAGAAGATCTCTTCCTTCTAGTGGCGGTCAGCTGAACAATCTGACCCGCATAAAGTGTCCTAGCCCTTAGCTCCTACTGTGGAAACTTGTGCTCGATCTTGGTTCAGTGAGCCCAGCTGAACTGAGTGAACACGACGTGTCATATTCACTATGGTTGTAGTGTGTTGTACGTACATGTACATGTACCGTTTTCCGGAGTATAAGCCACACCCCCCCCCCGCCCTTTTTTTCCAACGAAATACAGACATCTATCCTATTTTATCACAATTAATTTGATCATCGGAGTATAAGCCGCACCTACCTTTTTTGGGGTGAATTTTGAGTGTTCAAAGTGCAGCATATACTCCGGAAAATACGGTACCTAACTCTTTGAGGCAGCGGGTGCACTGAAGAGTGTGCGAACAGTCTTACCTGATGAGCATTCCAAACAGCCAAGTAGACAGCCCGGTGCGACATGAAGCACTGGTGTGTGCTGTGGAACACCTCCTGGCCGGCAAAGTCCACCGCGTGGAAGGTTATCTAGGCACATCAACAGAATATCGGTATACACCACATCAACAGAACATCTGTGTACATCACATCAGCAGAACACAGTGCCACAGCCACGTATGGCAACTGGAATTCCAGTCAACGACAGAAAGGGACACTGGCTCTGATGTGTCGAATATACAACAGCCTATGCCATCACAAACCCAAGTGATCTCTTCACTGCAAACCTGCACACTTTCAATCAAATTTTCGGCCAGGAGCCATCATCAGGATCAATGTTACACAGCAGAACTTCCGTATTTATGGTGGTTTAGCGTGTGCGCTAAGCCCTGTTAACGAACATGGAACATCTACCACTCATACCTAGCCTGATGATCATGCATCCTCTGATTGTAATGTCATGCTGTACATGCGCATGCGCATTCTGCGCACCACTCTCCCGCGCGTGCTGTTCAAATCTTGCTTTGCAGAAAACTCCTTTGTTATTTCTGTTGTCCGACGACTTGAGTGTTCACAGGTTTGTCTGTCAGTTGTCATTTTTTTCATTTTCCTGCACTCCTTTCACCTGTCGATGTACATGCCGAGGACACGGAGCACCACACGGGGTGCAAGCGCTGATGAAACTGACGGTCCCCCAGCTCTCTACCCGTATCCACCACGGGCCGTGATTTTCAAGAAAATCCGAGAGCGAGGTCCCGTGTGAGCTGTGGGCACAGCTCCGCCAAAGCAGACCAGATGGCTTCTCCTGCGCCGCCACAACCAGCTCCCCTCACCTTGCACGGCAGTATCTTGTCGTCCTGGATCAATGGTATTCCTTGCTTTATCAATTATTGGTGCTGTCCTCTTTCCAATGAAATTTTGCACTGAAATATCCTGATGGGCACTAAAGAAAATATCCACATCACGACCAAATTACGCACTACATACCTCATGGGATGCTCCCTTCGGCTTCAAGGAGAAGTGGCACGTGCGCAGACCGGCTTTCTGAGAACTCGTAGATGGTGCGTGCCGTAGTTTCAGGTTGCTGATGTCCTGCAGGCAGGCAAGCAAGCGCGACTTTCCCGTGCCCACGTTGCCCAGGACGAACAGGTTCATGTGAAAGTAAGACACAGACTTGTGAACTTCTCTGTAGAGATGCTCTCGAATAGCTCGAACTCCTGGGCGGGAAAATATCAGAAGGAAAGGCGAGTATTAGTCATACCTGTACTTGTAGTACTATATTTCACACAAACTACTGTACTTGACTGATTGAGTTCAGTTGAATGTGTAGACAGAATGGATAGTTGGTACAATTATGTACTATGCTCGTGTCTGGTTTTTAAGTTAAATTCTGCTGCTGAGGTTATTTTTCATTGCTACCAGGCTCTGTCTCATTTCTCTGCACTGAGCTGAGGAGTCTGTAACGAACAAAACAACACAGTCATCAGGCTGCATACACTACAGTGGAGGGGCACCCGTACCTCGAAAAAAAAAGAAAGCACAAAATAGTTGAAAATACCCTTTTAGAAACATGCTATGGTTCACCATCCAACAACACTTCCTCTTTTCAAGATGAGCACGCAGTAACAGTTCCAAGACATCCCTTACCGCCATCCAGAATCTTTTTGTTCGGATAGCAAACCCGATCTTGGTCTATCTTTAGCGTCAGCAAGGAGCGGCAGTTGGCGAGTTCCTTCGGCAGACGTTGAAGATTGGGACATCGGATATCCAGCACAGCAAGACCAGGCAGCTCCAGGATCCAAGGGGGAATGGTGGTGATTGGATTGGCACTGATGTTCACCTAGGAAGTGGTGCAGTTCACAGCAAAGAATGTAAAACGGAAAAAAGAGACTGTGAAACACAATGACTACAGGCACTACATTATGACTGGAACACCGTGAGTACGCCTTTTGGAGCAACTACAATGCGCGTAGAGCCAACTGACAGCACGGGGTGCCATCGAATCCTGCTTGCCAGTCTCCGACACACTGTGCATGTGCTGGCAGTTGGCAGACTCCATAGCTGCAAACTGACCTGCAGTGCTTACTCACCCGAAACAACCGCTGTACCGCCAGTCCCCCAGACGATCTTCGCTTGGCCTGTATGGCTGGACTGAGCTTGCGAGTAAAGTAGGATGCTGCGGCTGAGGATGCTCCAGGTAATTTGTTTAGAAGAGATCCACCTTCTGACCCTGATCAGAAGAAAAAGCATTTTAAGAAATGAGAGAGCAAAAGCATAATCTGATGCTGCAACACCAATGATTTACACCTCGTCATGTTCGTCATGTTCGCATCCAGGTATTCCGCATCGACCATAACAAAAATAACATTATTTCAATTGTGACAGAGAAGAGAGGACATTGTGCTATTTCTTACTACAAATGCAATCTTCTAACCTTTGAGGAGATTCTGGGACAGGTCCAGTGAAGACAGACTGTCACACTGCCACTCCTTGGCATCCGGCAAGGAAGAGAGCAAGTTGTCGTAGACAAGGATCGTTTTCACTGTCTTCATCTGAAAGAGCTCCACTGGCAGCGATTTCAGTTTGTTATGAGCCAAATTGACCTACGGGGACAAGGAACAGGAAGAAAGTCACTACTTTCAGGCTACAAATGTTGGATATACAAGTGCTAGATATGCAAGCACACATACCGGTACAGTGTACATAGTGTATGTTGAGATAGCCCGGTTTCTACATCTATTCCAGATTATTGCCAAAACCGCAAGAACCGGAACACTGGCATAGGAGCACACCAAGCGCTCTACAAACAAATGCTACGAATAATCGGCTTTGCTACCATGGAAGCAAACCAGCCTGATCTGTGAAGGGCACAAAGCACCTTTACTTCAAGCAAAGGACAACAGCATGGCTTCAACAGCATGGTTTCAGCAGCATGGCTTCAACAGCATGGCTTCAGCAGCATGGCTTCAACAGCATGGCTTCAACAGCATGGCTTCAACAGCATGGCTTCAGCAGCATGGCTTCAACAGCATGGCTTCAGCAGCATGGCTTCAACAGCATGGCTTCAGCAGCACTTAAATAACACAGTCAATGGTAGTATCAACTGACCTCGGTGACGCCGACAAAGTGTGCCAGCCAGGGCCCGTGCAAGATGTGCAGGTTCAGGCGGCGCCACTTCAGCTCCCCGTTGCTGCGCATTGGGTAGTACTGGCGCAGGATCTTGCCCAGCAGATCGGCGTTGTAAGATCCTTCGGTGGCGATGCGGCGCATCATTGACAGTTTGTTGAGCGAGAACAGGTAGGTGAGCACATCCATGCTGTCTGATACCGTCTGCTCTGGAAGTGTGTCCTGTTGGGACAGTGTTGACATTGAACCACTACGTTTAACAAGCGGCGACGCCAGTAGTGGATCAACAGAGCGCAACGGGCTGTTGACCGTGCCCATCTTGCGCTGCTTGACATTTGGCAGGGAATTGAGGCGAGGGATTCCACCGCCTTCTTCAAGGTTCAGCTTCTGCTGTTGCTTGTCAGACACACCACGGAAGGCCTATCAAGTGATGGGCGTGGTGCATACGAATGACACATACACGTGTACGCATGCATACACACAGACACATACGCATACAAGAATTTTAGCCAGAAGGGTAACCACAGACCTTCTGGGGGAGATGACATTTTTTTGTTGGTCTGCTGAGGAGAGGATACTCAATCACAGAGTGCAGTTCACCAATGGATTACACTGTATCATTCATGTATGCGGCGTAAATCTAGGCCAACAGGGTGAGAGAGAGAGAGAGAGAGAGAGAGAGAGAGAGAGAGAGAGAGAGAGAGAGAGAGAGAGAGAGAGAGAGAGAGAGAGAGAGAGAGAGAGAGAGAGAGGGAGAGAGAGAGAGGGAGAGAGAGAGAGAGAGAGGGGGGGGGGAGAGAGAGAGAGAGAGAGAGAGCGTGTGTGTGTGTGTGTGTTCGTGAGTGTGTGTGTGTGTGTACGTGTGCGTGTGTGTGTGTGTTTTGTGTCTTTCGACTAGGTCAGTTTTGTTGGTGGTAGCAGAGTGGTGAGGAAGAGAAGTGACCCATTGCTACAGTACACGCAGCACTTCAACAACGTACTTCTACAGCATAACAACAACGTACTTCTACAGCATAACAACAACCTACTTCTACAGCATAACAACAACGCACTTCTACAGCATAACAACAATGTACTTCTACAGCATAACCACCGCTGGAAAGCTCTTCCTCGTCCAGATGATGGATGAGGATTTTCACCAAGTTCAAGCAGCCGAGATAGCATGCTTCCTTGCCCATCTGCATACAAACAAAGACAAACAAATGCAGCGCCATGTCAACCGGGGGGGGGGGGGGGGGCAGTGCAAGTACAGAGCACAATGCCAACAATGGCGGATAAATGACTGACCCTTCCGATACGAGTCAGCATGGCATTTTCGTGGACAAACAAAATGAACAGTAGGCACGTGCAACCTTGTGGTGGGTACTGGGCATGTTCAGGACTTGCCAAGCAAATGAAAGAGGGTGTGATCACCGTATGATCATTTCATGCCATCGGCCCGCGTAAAACGGCAGCCACTGGTTGTTTTAACGACCGGCATTAAATTACACGAGTTGCCCTGACGGCACTATACTTGAAGCTGGCAGCAGCCAAACAGAAGAGCATTAGAAGTGACTAATATGCTGCTGACCAGCAAACTGACTACAAAAGAGATTTTACAGTACTGTGCGCACATCGGATGCATCATTTTCACCTCAAAATCCCACTGCTCTCTGGTCCAGTGAGATGTAGGAATCAAATGCACCTTACACTCCAATCTAGTCAAAATTGGGGGGGGGGGGGGGGAGGAGGAGGTAAATAGCATGTTACTATTGTACTATAGTATTATGTTATGCCATCAGACATTGTGCATTTTTCCGGGACAATCTCTATGGGAATGCCACTGTAAATTATTACGCAACGTGCTAAACAGCACTAAAAAATGGCACATACCTTCCTGATCCAGCCAATTCCCAGCATCTGGAAGATGAGCCTCACAAACGGGAACTCGGTGTTTCTTCCCTGAGTGGCGCAGGTGCATTCCCACCGACATATGCCACCTGCCTTCATGTGTGCCTGTACAGCAGCAGTTCAGCACAAACAGAAGGCAAAGATGCTGCAAGTGGCTGTGGGCCTGTGTGTGTGTGTGCGTGTGGGTGTGTGTGCGTGTGTGTGTGTGCGCGCGCGTGTGTGCGTGTGTGTGTGTGTTTGTGTGGGCACATGACTACATGTGTTCCATAATCAATGATATTAGAGAGGTTCCGGAGTACGACTTTTCGTGCCAAAATCCGTAGAGGCGCAACGTATTTTTTATACGTCGTTTTCGAGCAGTGAAATGTTCCGGAGTACGGAACTTGTGTGTTTGGCGTCATTGCCTAGGTTACGATCGCAAACACGTCACATTCCCGCGCTATGCTTTTTTTTATTTTGACAATTTGTACCGAAATCAAAACTTCCCGCGGAAAATCGATGTTTCTCGTACCAAATTTGTACGCGAAAAATCTTTCTGCACCCGATGACGCAAAATCTCCATACGAAACATGGTTCGTATGAAAGCCAGTCCACACGGATTCTCCGTGCCGAAAAATCGTATGGAGCACGCCTCGAAGAAATCCGTAGCGCCCACACGGATTTTGGCACGGAAAATCGTACCCCGGAACCTCTCTATTAAACCAAACAAAATTGACTCCTGGCGGTGGGGCGCTCTGGCAATACTTAAAACGGTATGAATGAATTATTCAAATAGCTGAACAAAGGAACACTCTCAGCACTAAGCGCACTGCAATCATCCATGCATGATGCAGCACTGCATTCTCATCCATGCATGATGCAGCACTGCATTGTGCTATCATCCATGCATGATGCAGCACTGCATTGTGCTATCATCATGATTATGTTGTATGCTACTTGTATACAATCATGTACATACGCATGTGCTTCACAGCAGGGCGCATGCGATTCAACAATTCTACAGCCTTGACCCGGTGTCCAGGCCTGTCAAACCAATCAGCAAGATAGCGGCGCAACGGCGTTGTAAAGCAGTGACAGTAAGTAATGTATGCAAGTACCAAGTACATGTCTTTACCTCTAGGTTGCCAGTGTCATCCAGCATAAACTCCTGCTCCTCCAGGTCATCCTTGTTGGCGATTAAAAACATCACAGGCGGTTGCTTCAGCCTTTGGCCCTTAGACAGCTGTCCCAGGAAGCTCTTTGTGAACACCAAAATATTCTGTAATGTCTCCTGGAGAATTCGAGCGACAAACGGACAGTTGCAAGGGCGAGAGACATAATTATAGGAGCATGTATGTGTGGCAT